TCTATTCTAGCCTGAGTCAGATTCCTGAAGAGCACCTAATTTGTTTTCCAAGTTACTCCATGTCCTGCAAAATCAGAGATAAGAATATGTCAAAGAGAGTCTTCCCAGTGTCTTTGTGATGAAGTCCCTCCTTTGATTTAGAGAGAAAAAGAGAAGGACCCCAAAGGTGCTTTTTTTTAAGAGACAACTTGACTTTCTGGGTTTTTTTTTTTTTTTTTTGGAAGACCTTTTGCTTCTCATCCAAGAAGAAGAAGCTTCTTGGATGAGAAGCAAAATGTCTTCAAAGAAAAACAAGAAAATACGCATCCTTCCATTCCCCACCATCCAGTCAGAGCTGAAAGAAGCTTCTTGAATGGGAAGCGAAACGTCTTCAAAGAAAAAAAACCAGAAAGTCCAGTTGCCTCCTGAAAAAAAAAAAAAAAGCACCTTTGGGACAACTACCTTGACCTGGAGGGCTGTGAATATTCATAGACAAAGAGACAGGGAGACGAGCAGAAACTTCTGAGCCAGCCCTGTTGATCTTCACCTGCAGCTTTCTCCAACTTTTGATGCTCGCTTCAGGACGGCTTCGTCCTGCTTGTTTGCTTTGCCAGCACCCCGTTGCAATTGATTTGGCCGTTTGTTTTTCAGGGTTACCGATATCCAGCTAGAAAGAGCGGTGGGTCAAGGGACCATCCATTATTAATGCACTGGTGGTGCAGGAGGCTCTTTGGGGATAGAGAGCGGGAGGGTCCAAGATGAAAGGGCGGGGGGGAGGGTCGTGATCAGGTGGTCTGCCTTTACCTAGAGGGAGAATTGCTGGCTGAAGTAACATGGAGCCAATTACGAGTTGGAAATGCCAGCAGCTACACTTAAGGAGCGGTTTAAAAAGCAGGGGTGGAGAGAGAGAAAGAGAGAGAGAGAGAGAGAGAAAGAATAGAAGTGAGACCAAGAAGGAGGGGTTGGGTGGGATGGGAAGGTTAGGAAGATACAGGAGAGCTATTACTTCTCCCCCACTTCAAGCAAGAACCTCATTAACACATCACGGGAGGGCCAACCTCAGGTTCCATTAAAAGAGCCTCTCCGCTGCGGGTGAGTGGGTGGGTGCGGCAGCCGAGAGGCCACGATCAAATGGCTTGAAAGAAACCGTCATTAAATTTTCATCGGCTGATTGCCCGGAGAAGAGGCAATTTTGGGCTGAGTGGATCAAAGGGAAGATGGCTAGCAGAGGGGCCTGTGTGTGTGTGTGTGTGTGTGTGTGTGTGTTAGGGAGGGCAACACAAGGAGCTTTCAGTGTTCCTTTCACCCATCTCCTCCCACTATGACTGTATGACTGTAACTTTGTAATTTGTATCCTAACGATTTTTATTGACTGTTTCCTACTATTATTTGATTGCTTATTGGACCCTATGACTATCACTAAGTGTTGTACCTGATGATTCTTGACTCTTGACGAATGTATCTCTTCTCTTATGTACACTGAGAGCATTTGCACCAAGACAAATTCCTTGCGTGTCCATTCACACTTGGCCAATAAAGAATTCTATCCTATCCTATCGTATCCTATCCTATTCTATCCTATCCTATCCTATTCTATTCTATTCTTTCTCATTCTATTCTATTCTTATTGTACCCTATGACTATCATTAAGTGTTGTACTTGATGATTCTTGACGAATGTATTTTTTCTTTTATGTGCACTGAGAGCATTTGCACCAAGACAAATTCCTTGTGTGTCCAATCCCACTTGGCCAATAAAGAATTCTATTCTATTCTATTCTATTCTATTCTATTCTATTCTATTCTATTCTATTCTATTCTATTCTATTCTATTCCATTCCATTCCATTCCATTCCATTCCATTCCATTCCATTCCATCCTATCCTATCCTATCCTGTCCTATCCTAATTCTATTCTATTCCATTTTCTTCTGTTCTAATTCTATTCTATTCTATTCTATTCTATTCTATTCTATTCTATTCTATTCTATTCTATTCTATTCTATTCTGTTCTGTTCTGTTCTGTTCTGTTCTGTTCTGTTCTGTTCTATTCTATTCTTATTGTGCCCTATGACTATCATTAAGTGTTGTACTTGATGATTCCTGACTCTTGATGAACGTATCTTTTCTTTTATGTACACTGAGAGCATTTGCACTAAGACAATTTCCTTATGTCTCTAATCACACTTGGCCAATAAAGAATTCATTCATTCATTCATTCAAAGATATGGCAGTCCAGGACAGCAACTGGGCGGATGAGTCGGGGGTGTGTGTGCAAGGTTAAACCCTTGAGGGTCGATGGACAAGAAACACCTGACCATCTGGTTCTCCAGTTCTGCTCCAGAAGACAGCAGGGGCCCCGGGTCTGCCAGCTAAATCTTGGAGTGGGTGGGTGGTATCCAGCAGACATTTTTGGAAGCCAGTAATCAGCTGCCTCAAGAGAAGGTTTATCTCCTGGGCTGGAGAGAGCAATGAGAATGGTTGAGCTGTAATTATTACCCAAAGAACAGGGTCCACCTTGGAGTCCAATCACTTACATCATTATTTTTTGGGGGGGGGGGTATTTTTTTTGCTTTTAATGCTTTTTGGGACATCAGTTGGTAAGGGGCCACTATGCCCATCTATGTGAATGAGAAGGAAAATGGGAGTTAGCATTCTTTTGAGGGAGGATGGACAGAGAGGAACTAAAAAGAGAAGAACGGTGCCTTCTCTTGCTTTAGAAGAGCTGGATCCTCTCCTCTTTGTATAAAGCTTTTGATGTCAATGAGCTGAAATGCATTCAAATCTGGAAAGAGGTGCTGCCCACATGTGCAAATGTGAGAATGCTTCTTTCAAGAAAAACCTTGGGGCAGCGAATAATTCCCCTTCCTTTTCCTTCCTTCCTTCCTTCCTTCCTTCCTTCCTTCCTTCCTTCCTTC